AATTTTTGAATGGTATTCTTTTTTGGAATTTTACTACATGACTAAATGCTAACAATATGGTGAATTTCTTTGTTTTTTTTTGTTTTACTGATTTTGAGCATTTACATCAAAAGTTTAAAAGAAGATTATCTCATATTTCAAGGTAGAAGACATATAGTGTTCTAAAAATGTAGATTTGAGCGCTCAAAACAATTTCTTGAAAGTTTTTATGCATCATATTTACTTTCAACATAACAAATATCAATTTTGATCGATCACCTTTCGAAATCTATAAAAATGATTTAATTTTTACAATATGTGAAATTATTTTCTTTATACATTTTGTTTAATTAGAGAATTTCGTTCTACATGTGATTTATTCTTGTTTAAGTGTTAAGAAGCTGTTTGATTAGTTATGAACCTATCCTCATAGATTCTACCAACCCATCGATGAAGGAAAAGAGGCTCAGGCAAAAGGTTATCCGATAGGTTTGCATAGCGAATGGAGCAGAAGAAAACTAAATATTAATTAAGAGGCTTCAACAACAACAATAGGAAAATATGTGTAAGTAGTATTAATGCTTAGATCAATCTAGATTTCTGTGCATTCTAACATAGCCTAAATATTACATATTTTTCGTTTTTAATACAATAAAAAGTTTTTATCATAATTATCAATGTATAGTGTATTGATGATATGGATTCATCAGAGTCAGAATATGACGGATATAGATAAATATGAATTGATTTCAGATCATGTCTATCGAATTATGAGAATTGTGTCAATCTTGATTTATTGATTTATTTAACATATTTTTCAAAATAGATTATTTTCACCTTGTTGACAATATCCTATAAATATATTACGATCATAGTTTGTGAATTTCACATTTAGGTCAGTCACTAGGATGTACTTGTCGATTTTTCATACGTCGTCACCAATTTGAAATCCTTCTTTGATTCAGCCGCTTTTCCAAGTTTCTTTTTGCTTTTTTCAGAGAAATTGCAATTGTACAACCAGAGTTCCTTGATCGACTGGTTGTGTTTGATCATATTGATGAGAGATTCAACACTTGAGTCACTCACGAATTCGTTTCTATCAAGAGTTAATATTTGAAGACTTGTATTTTGATGAACAAGTGCATTAGTCAATATTTGCACTCCTTGGCTACCTATTTTATTCATTGCTAATCCTAATGTAGTTAACGTTCTATTTTTTGTTATCATGTCAACTAGATGAAGTACACCTGCGTTTGTGATATTGTTTGAAGCAAGGCCAAGTTTCTTAAGTGTTTTATTTACAGTTAGTGCTGTTGATAGAAAACCTACACCGGCATCAGATATATTATTAGTAGCCAGCCACAGTTCTTCCAATGTTGTGTTATTATACAAGGCATCGGCGAGAATCGAGGCACCTTTTGATGTGATCTCATTGTTTGCTAAGGAGAGGCTCTTGCATCGTTTATTATTAATCGCTTGTTGAACTACAATCTCTATATCTGCATCTGTTAGTTGCTGTTTATTCAAACGTATTGCTGAACAAGTTTCATATTGGGCGATAAGTTCTTCAAGTTTTGTGCTACGATAGGTTTGCCGATCTAAAATAACGATGGATACAATCAAACAAGATTGAATCATTCAAGCCTGCTAGATAAGATGATTATAGATATTATATGAGGCACAGAAGAACACAAGTATCAACAACAGAACTTATCTATTTAAAAATAATTATTTCATAAATGACTTTATCAACTTTTTTAGGACAAATAGGTTCACATAGATCTTACAGATAGAATTATAAGCATTAAGCGAAATCTATTCTTAGTTAGGAGCCTAAAGTCTAGAAAATGAAGTAATCTTTCTAATAGTTCTTTCCAATCGTATTTAGAATCTTTGTGCAAGACACCAGAATGAAAAAAGTTACATAGAATATAGCAGGAACCATTGGAAAAAAACTTTCTTGAACTAGACTACAATCAGAATGAAAATTCTTTATCTCACAAATATCCATTTTTGAAGCAATCATTCACCTCACATTATATGGTATGATGAACATGTCTGTCAAGGAGATGAAATTTCAGGTTTCGCAAATCTAAAATTTTCCATAGAGTACTTTTGGAAACTGAACTGCGCAAGAATACTTGATGGATATTGAATGAGTTCGAAAAAGAAAATGTTTCTGTTAGCATTTCCACCCATAATATCATCTTTTTGAATTGACGCACTATTTTCAAATCACTTAGCGAGTCAGTTTCATGAAAATATCGATCTACTAGTTAAAATTCTGCAAACAATCAAGCGCATACTCATTAGCTTCAGTCATATAATATTCATAACATACATTTTTTCCCTTTTCGGATTATCAGCAAGCTGATTTTGAAAAATAGATATGACAGAAAGCCGACCAATTTGTTTAGAAACGATGTTTTTGATTCTAAAATCATAAACCTAATGTGACAGTACATGGTTTCTCGTAATTCAAAGCTCGTACAATCACCATATTGAGAAGTTTTGACTTATTCTGAGAATAATGACGAATTTTTATGCAAAAAACTTTTATAGTTACGGAATGCAAACCAACTATTAGTATCGGAACGACGACATCAAGATTAAGACTACAACTGTACAACACACAAAATAGAGCCAGATTCAGAAAATTCGGATTCTGCGCATCTCTTATCATTACATTACTCGAGCGATGATAAAATATTCACTTAGACAGTTTATGAAATTCATTTATTATTGACAAAAAAATCTATAGATTAATAGATAGATGTCTATTTTTTGGACAGACCATCGGCTAATAAATTTATTTTAAAAAGTAGTTATTGATATTCTTATCCTTAAACACACATCAGTAGACTAATCTTGATGGGTGAACGTGACTAGGATATCCGTGATTTTATTTCAGCGAATCAAGCGTATGTCTATGTATTAGAAGCTGAATTGACGTTCACAATCAATAGATGTTTGGGTAGGAAGGAACAGATGATGATGGGATTGATGAGATATATTACTTTCATCCCATTCATTTCGTTTAGCTATTTCTCAATATCATACTACTAGAAATAACTGCTCCAGTGATATAAACATATATATGTGTAGAGCCTTCTTGTAGTGTTCTCTTTAAAACATGAAATAGAATCTTTTGAGAACTTAAATAAATTTCTGTATGCTAAATATTTCATCAGCACTTTCACAAATATTCGATTCATATGTAGACGGACTAAGTTCAAACTCATAATCTGATATTGAATTTGTCGTCAATGTTGAAAACTGAATTCGATACGTTACAGAAAAACTTTTGAATAGAAAGCCTTATTGGACATGTGCCTCATTTCAGAGACGAACTGTTCGAAAGCTTCTTGAAGCACTAAGTGTGAGTGTCGATTTATTTGAAACTGTTGAATACACCCACACTCTTTATCTACGAATTTGTTCGATTTTCATTCTCAAAGACTCTGATTCAGTCGAATGAGAAAGGAAATAATGCATAACATCAATCTGGACAGAAATCGATAGTTTAGGTGATACTGCAAAATGAAAACATGACATAGATTATTTATTTTTATTTCGAAAGATGTTGAAAGCTTTTTTTGAAAAATGTTTTAGTTTTAAGAAAACATTTTCATATTTTCCAAAGTTTGGATAGAAAGAGCTAGTGAGACTGCGCGGAAGTGTGAACAGCATAATGATCTTTTTAATCTTTTCAAGAGATCCTATTATTTACAGAGAAAAATGACAAATCATGAGATTTTTGCCAGTCATTCTTTTAAACAAACCTCCAAAGCAGCTTATAAGAATATATTTCAGAAACGTTTGTTCCGTTCTCTCCGTCATGTCAATATTGCTCCTTCTCGTTTGATCGATAAGAGAATTAGTTGACTGACAAGTTAAATTCTGATCGAAGCAAGAACTATTATGGACTGAAATAGATTTAGTTTCTGAGTGAATCATTATGCTCAATTAAATAATGAAGGTTACATACCTTTATTTGACATATCAGCTGTTGAATTAGTTGGAGAATTGTTCGAATCATTTGACTGAATTATAACCGAACAACGCTTTGGTCTAAATTTTACAATAAATGATCAGTAATATTCTGTTTTTGGTCAAAGTGATTAATTAGCGACTTTTTTTAAGAAAAAAAACTCTTTGAGTTTCAATTTGAGTAAGACAAATTTCAATGTCTAATATTGTCAAGAGAACTCTTTCGGCATTGGACTTTCCTTATATTTTTTCTAGAGTCTAAATATTTCTCAAAAATTCTTTGGTAGTAAATAAAACTTATTCTACCGTTTTTTTTCCTTTTTTTTTTAGAAAACACTATATTGAATTGAAACTATGAGACATTCACGAAAATTCACTATGCATAGTTTAAAAGTGTTATTAAAAGTTACAGTTAATTTCGATTTGGAGACACTTACATTTTGTTCGAGAAAATATACTGTAGAAAAGTGAAGAAAATTCTTTCGATATCTGTACACTATTGGTTAAATTAGATGAGTTTTTCTTTCAAATTGATGGGAAAAATTAGAAAATGCTTTGATCATAAAGTGAATCAAAACATTATTTGTCATAGCTTCGTTGTAAATATAAAATGTTTGATATAGAACTTGTATAAAATTCGACAGATATCTTCGAAGTCAAACTTCGATTCTTTTTGACAAAAAGAAATCCGTGAGATATTCATGAAATGCAAGAAGTAATAATGAATCTGAAATATCCATTTTTACGTGTTTCATTTTCATTTATCAATAGTAATATTAATGGTACTATGAGTTAATTAGATTTGAGTAGAAAATAATCGTTGGTATAATGTTAGAACTTTGTTTTTTTGTTCAAATTCAAAACATGTCGTTCAATATTTCTATCCACTGAAATAATTGTCAAAATAGAAGTTTAAACTCCGATGTTCGCAGTTCGATCTCAAGACGAAAACTTTTTCTACATAACAAAATTAGACTCTCATTTCTTTGATAAATCTTCTTGAATTCAGATTTTCTTTTTTCATCATCTACTCACATCATAGTCGTTTCAATCGTATTAGGTGAAGCAGAGATAATCTGCTGGATAAGTTCTTGAGACGTTGGTCGCTTGCTTGGTTCATGACTCCATGAATTTGAGATAATCGACTCAAAATTACTCGGAACACCATTGGGAATTTTGAGTCGTTCTCCAGCTTTGACACACTGAATAATTACTATTTCGTCCACTTCATCATATGGGATGTCTCCAGTAGCTAATTCCCAAAAGACGATACCTAAACTATAGATATCACTGGCCTTCGATGGTTTTCCAAATTTGAATAGTTCAGGTGCTTTCCATTGAAGTGTTCCCGTTACTCCTTGCTGCTTATTGCTCTCAGCCGTCTGTCGACTTGTTTCTTGCCGAATTTTAGCCAAACCAAAATCACTGATTTTGACGAGATAGCCATTTACTGTGTAGTCCATGAGAAAGTTGAGCGACTTAATATCACAATGAAGAATGGACATTGTATGTAGATGATTAACACCTTTTGTCATTTGAAGTGCAATCGACCAACGATCGGTCCCAGAAAGAACATGTTTTTTTTTGTGCAAAACATCAAATAGAGATCCAAGCGACATATGTTCAACAACAAGTGCATAATAGTTTGGTTCGATACATGCACCATAAATATTGAGTACATGGTCATAGCGTATTCTGTACATGGTAGCAATTTCATCGAGGACACTTTGTCTCAATTTGTCCATCAAATATGTCATACGAATTGTTTTGATGGCCACACGATGGTATTGACTCAGCCATGTACCACGATAAACATCTGCAAAAGCACCTTCACCAATGAGTTCTTCACTCTCTAGATCATAACCGGGTATATGAAGAAAAAGTTTTGATTCTTCTTCTACTTTTTTTGCCTCAACAGGATTCTGAGCCTTTAGCACATCTTGCTTTAGATTAAATCTGAATGAATTAAATCGTCTTTGAAATTCATCTTTGATATCTTTTTTATGACGAACTAATTCTTGCTGTTGTTTAGTCATTGCTAAGGCAATATCATCGAGTTTCAACGATATTTCAGCGAGATCAGCTTGTCGATCAATCATATCTTGATGTTGATCAAATATTAAATTAATATTCAAGCCTAAATTGAGATCGGTCGCAATATGTGAGAGTTGTGTATTGAGTATTTCAAATTGTTTTTGATGATCAGTATTGTTCAAAAATCGATCGAAAATAGAAGCATCAGTAAACTTTTTAATAAAACGTATGCTTTCTTCTAATGTTTCCATGAAACTTTGTAGAGCTTTTTCTATTGATGTTTCATTAAAGTCGTCAATTGAACCATTTTCGAGAATGGCGACAATATCTTTGACTCGCTGGTTCAAACCTAAAATTGAAATCAGAGCACATGTGTATTAGTTTCGAGGAAATAACCATGAAAACACATGAAAAATTCTCTCAATGATTTTTATTTTGATCAATTTAGTTATTCCTGTAATAGGTTGCTTGTAACCGAAAGAGCGATTTCTATTCATGTCATTTTTGGAAAAGTTCAATATCTGAATCCTTTTTGAAGTAAATTTACAAACATAACTGAAATTCAATTGATTTAGAATATCAAGAACAAAAAAAAGAAGAAAACTTATCAGTATGGTTTCATGAAAAGTTGCTTAACTTTAGTTGCATCGATTCAAGTGAATGTTCCCAGGCAGACAATAAACGGCCAGAAAGGCGTTTAAACGTGTTTAAAAAGCGTTTACACCGTTTTAACTGGTTTAAACGCGTTTACTACTGATTTTTTCGCTTTTAAATCGTTTTTACAGTTTATTTTCAACTAAATTTGACAAAACCATTAAAAACGCCCCAATTTCGTGTTTTTTTTCGAAAAAAAAACGTTTTAACAGTATTTTTCCGTTTTGCTTCGATTACCAAAAAAACAATCAAAACTACAAAAATTTTATTATTATGCTGTCAGTAAATCATGTGCTTCGTTACTAACTAGTTGTTAGTAGGTGATAGTCTGCGCTACTAATCTGTTACTAATGAGTAGTAAATTTTTAATTTAACTATTCTGTAAATGTTATACCTGTTTGAATGTATCTAAATCATGTAACACAACATAGTGAGTAATCAGTCTGGTTACTTTCTAGTAAGTAATAAGTTTTACAATTCGTTGTTTATAAGTAACAGGCAACTGATGGTTAGAACATGTATCTTTTCCTAATAAACAGCAAAGAATCAGGTTCGATATTTATTATTAGCAAACAGAAATTTTAAATCAAGAAAATTTTTTTATTGTCATTAAGTCGAAGTCAAAATTGATAGCAGTATAACGATCTTACTGAAAATACTTCGCGTAGTGAGTTTACATATTCTATATTGATGTATTGTCAGTGTATCTACTCAGCAATATTCCACTGTCAATTGAAAACCGTTAAGACAAATATCGTTCGGTGTTAATATCTGATGAGAATGTAACAAGGCTTATCTTTGATTTGCCGCAGAGTAACTGCCATAAACTGATTTGTTTAACAGAAATAGGCGTGCAGCACATCTCATGCTGAATATCTTTAACAATCAGCGTGTAGACAATTAACGTTATAGTGATTTGTTCAATGAATATTATAACATCATCTTAACCAATATTGGTTTATTTTACTGCACATTTAAGAAGATTAATTCTAGCTCAGTTGTATTTTGTGAATTATAATAAGTGCAGACAAATATTGTTAACGCTCAGAAACTAAATGGAAGGGGGAAATCATCATTAATGTTATTACATGTTAGTATATCATACTAACAACATAAACGATTCCTTCTTTCTTAGATTATATGATAATCATAATCTTCTCTATTTCTCTTTTAAAAGTGCAAGTACATATGGGCAACAATCATGTTTAACCAAGATAAACAAGTTATCCTGTTCTCATATAGCCTATAAGTAAAAAATGTCTTAGAGTTTTGCTGTTTCAATAAAAGTTTCAAAACTTTACTATTTTATATTTCATCTAGTTATCATCGTCACATAGAAACAGAGTTATCATCGGTCCACATTTTCAAGAAATTTTTTCCATTCTGCCTTTTCTTTCCGTCCGTCCAGTTCACAGAAAAAGGAAAAAAGAGGTCATTCTTTTATCACTCTCTCGTCCGATTATTGGTCTGTTCTTTTCATTTGGAATTCATTTGTGTTCTGTTTCATTCACAGAGTAGGTGCCTAACTGAGTAGGCCATTTTATTTCTAACGTATAATTAAAATTAATGTTAAATTCACTATATGTAATGGCGCATACTTCTTTTGTGTAAGACTGGATATGTTCGAATTAGATAAGTTTTTTTCTGCGGAAATCATTCAGAACGAGAGAAAGAATAGGACACTTACTGCATGGCTATTAATAGTGAGTTTCTGTGAAAAATACTTCAATATTCACTAGGTTAGTGTTGACTTAGACATAACATGTACGATACTTATGACAATACAACTAGCAGAGTCGCTCTCAGACGATAAACATAGCAGGGTCCATTAAATATTCCTCACTTGAAATGTTTCATATATAATGTTCATCACGAATACATGTGACATATGAGACGTTTGAAACAGTTGAGTTTTCTACTCGATGAAAAGGGAATCTTAAGTCATCGAAATATGAATGAGCTTTAAAAGAAATATCGTCACTACAGGAAAAAGCAGATAACATTCTGATGCATAGGTGTGGCTTAATCAATTTCGCGACCGACTTAATACACACTAATTATGAGATTTCGTAGTGCGTTGATGATATTTCTAGTTATATCATATCTCCGTACTTTGATATTTTAGAATTTGATCGAAATGAAGTTAAATTTATTAATGATACTTGAAAAGAACATGTGTCTACCATAGTAGTTCCGATTGTAGTTTTCCTTATATTAGAAGCTGGTTAGATAGTCCGTGCTTTGCCTTTTTATCAATTCCTGTGTTAGTCGTACTATTTTAAATCTATTCATCAGTCTATCTTATCCGTCACTTATTTGAAACATGAATGGAAATAATTCAGTTTTCTTCTCGTTGATAAACTGACCGATTATATTCAGATTATCGTTAGATTAATGTTAAATTGACATATGTTTATTGTTTATACTTTGAAAACAGTGCAGAGAATTAAATCTCTCGTCAGTTCGTTTCGTTTTATGTTAAGAGTAAGTTTACATCTTGCCATTTACTTGTTGGTATTTTTTTCTAATAGTGGAATGGTATGACAAGGTGTTAATGCTGTTCGATTAAACCTACATTTTTTATCTTTCTTTCCACTATTGAAAAAAAAACAAAAAGAAAAAAATATCAATAAGTAAATAGTAAAATATACACTTACTCTTAACATAAAAAGAAACGAACTGATGAGAGATAAATTCTCTGCACTGTTTTCAAAGTATAAACTATAAACATATGTCAATTTAACATTAATCTAATGATAATTTGAATATAATCGATCAGTTTATCAATGAGAAGAAAATTTAGTTATAAATTATTGATACTTCATCGTTTAGATGAAACGTTTGTTGATCATTAAGAGGCGTGACAAGGGAAATTAATTTCAACTGTTTAAACAGTGTCATTAGTCGCCAAAAACGCGTTAAAACAGTTACAATTTCAATGACTCCAAGCGTTTAAACATGTAAAACGTGTTAAAAGTTAATTTTTCATAAACTGTTTTAACGCGTTTTTGGCGACTAATGACACTGTTTAAATAGTTCAGATGTTGAGACGTTTAAACGCCGTTTTTGCCGTTTTGTTGTCTGCCCGGGTTATATAATCTCTAAGATTCGAACAACTTTAGTGAAAACTACTCGAACACATGATTGAAAGCAGAATCATTTGATTTCATATCAATATAAACAAGACTTCTATATGTTCGTTCAGATGAAAATATCAAATAGAAGTTCTTTGATGATTGATTAAAAAAAAGAAAATTTTTTCATTGACAGAATTCTAAGCAATCTATTGAAAACACTTACGTTGACATTGGTTTTTGTTGGCTTGGACTTGCTTGCTAATATCATACAAGGTCTTGGCTAATTGAAAAATTTTCGGCAAAATTTTGACGCAATTCATGCTAATGATTGATCTGAAATATTATTCTTTTGTGACATTTCTGACAAATAAAAGAGAAATCTTAAGAACATTCTACTTAAGGAAAACATCACTTGTTGGCAAAAAGTAGGCATATGTTTTTTTTTCCATACATTCCGATGTGGATGTCTATTTTGGTGGTTGCGTGAATGGACGAGGTGAGACGTGAATCAGTAGATGTAGGCGATTGAGTCTTTTCTTCGCTCTTACATTGATTGTTATTCATATTTACAACCGACTTAATTATGCGACGGAGTCGAATCAAAAATGTGAATATGACTATACAGAGCACTAACTTCTTTCTAAATAGACTCTATTACTTTTTTTAGAGCACTCTACGTATAGCAATGATATTGAGGAGATTTATTAGTTGATGGCTCTCAGAACCCTATCCTACCTCTAAGAAAAATTGAACCTTATAAGAAATGCCTTTAGTCTTCTCTTCTCATTCATTTTCCCCTCTCTCTCTCCAGATTTTCTCTGAATACATTATTAAGCATTAGATATGAAGCAAGATTCACCAATGATCTTTTTGTTGTTCTAGTAGATAGTGATAAAATGTTATCGATTAAAGTAAATTTTGTTATCTTTTCCTAGAACAGAAAGTGTGATGATAGTGACTAATCTTATATCGTTTCTGACATTTACAATGTCTAACGTTATATTTAATTAACTTTATGTAGTTGCATTTTTCAAGAACAATCTGTAGAATCGGAGAAAACTAGTCGACAGATGAAATCTTACTATTTTCCATCAGCGAATCATGCGATAATTTTCAGAATGATGAGATCGAGGAATGTCCTTCTCCATTGATCGCTTTTACTTGCTTTAATATATAGAAAAAAGGATAGGGTCTTCTTGATGAAAATATAAAATCCATCGTACATTATCAGAAAGAGAATGACGAAAACTCACTTCTTACTAATTTCTCGATTCTTTTATGTTTTTCTAAGCTAAATACTTAACAGTCGTGTAGTATCAATAGGGACTATGGGAACACGAGCACAATAGTATGGTCATAACATAAAAATACGAAAGAAGGAGAGATGTGAGTTAAAACTGGATAACTTCTTTTCTTGGATCTTGAATATTAAACGAAGAGTTGTTAGCATTCAAGGAAACTAAGAGAATCTTCAAAAAAGCTTGATGATTTCTGCTAAATCTCTTTAAAATGAGATTGCG